GTGCTTATTAAATTCCAAGGGGGTAATTTGAGAATGACTTTTAAACTTATAAAACTAACGCAGAATATGGAAGGAATATGAATATTCTTCAGTGTGGTACATGTAAACCTCCACCCCGCCCCCTTTTTTTTTTACCTTTTAACTAAACTGTGTGTCATGGTTAGGAAGAATATTATAGAGTATTCTGAAGTGAAATGACACTTAAATGGACTGTTGCAGTGTCTTCTGCTCCAGAAAAGCTAGCTTAATAATGCCCTTGGAAAAAGTAAGTGAAATCTTTTTCTAGCAAAATATGTCAAAGCAATTGTCTTCATTTAACAGAATTTTCTTTCACTTTAGCTGTACATCCAATTACCTTGAGTTGCGAGATGGAGCTGATTCAAATGCACCAATAATTTCCAAGTTGTGTGGTACCTCTTTGCCCAGAAGTCAGTTGTCCTCGGGAGAGGTGATATATTTGAGATTCCGGACTGACAACAACTCCACTCATGTGGGATTCAAGGCCAAGTATTCTATAGGTAACACTTTTTATATTCAGTAAGAAAGTAGGGATAGAATAAATACATTAAAACAAAACACACACAATTTTAAAAGAAGTCTTTCCGTCTGCCTAATTTTAGTGAAAGAACTAAATAAGGAATATAAATGTTTAAAATTGCAAGTCATTAATTTTTACTTTGATTTCCATTTTAAAACACTTTTATAAATTTGAATATTTTGTATTTTGTCCTAACTTGTTTGTGAAAACACATTAGTCAAATCAAATTATTGTTTCTTCCTATTATTATGAAATATTTATTGTTTTAAATAGCAAAACTCTTTAGTAAATATTAACTATATTTAAAATTGTGATTTTGAACTCCTCATCATTAACAGATAATTGAGTCGATTCCCCCCTAAGCCTCTAGTGCCAAATCAGTCAGTAGACAAAAAGCAAAAAGTTCTTCAGTGTTTTGATTTCCTTACTTAAAAAAATTCACTATAATATGTCCTGGACATTAACCAAACATATTTGATGCATACAACACTTGGAAAGACCAGTTGTAATAACATTTAACCTATACCTTAGCTTGTTTCATAGCTGATCTTGTTTGTATATAATTCAAACATTTAACCTATACCATAGGTTGTTTCATAGCTGATGCAAATTATGTATAACTCAATCTATCACACCTGACTAATGAAAAATAATTGAATAGTAATTTTCAGGCCTTGAGCTACAAGTTACTGCAGTAAACTGTGTATTTGATAGTTAAACTAGAAATGGTCAGCATCACAAAGGAACCACAGCACCCTTCCCAGCTGAAGTTGGACTCAGCCTTCAGAATCTAACACAGGATACTGGGCAGGCTCTGTCAATCTGTCAGTTGGTTCGTGAAATAAAATGTTATTGCAACTGACAGATTTTACATGGCACCCCAAGAATTAAAGAGATATTTTTTTAAAATATATTTTATTGATTTTTTTACAGAGAGGAAGGGAGAGAGATAGAGAGTTAGAAACATCAATGAGAGAGGAACATCGATCAGCTGCCTCCTGCACACTCCCCACTGAGGATGTGCCCACGACCAAGGTACATGCCCTTGACTGGAATCGAACCTGGGACCCTTGAGTCTGCAGGCCGACGCTCTATCCACTGAGCCAAACCGGTTTCGGCGAATTAAAGAGATATTACAGAATATGTCCAAATCTTTCAGTCTTTCATTTCCCATTATTGGATTGAACTTGTGCTTTCATTTCTCTGTACATTAATAATAGATTTCCAATAGTAAGGGAGACTAACCAAGCATTTTCAGAATTTTTGGAACTTCAATTCATGTTCACTTGGCATATAAAAGTTTTCAAATGTGCTGGTGAAATTGTAAAAAATCTATAATAGAATATTGCTCTCTTTTTTTTGCAGCCCGGTGTGGGGGAACATTGACAGGGCAAAGTGGTGTCATCCAAAGCATCGGATATCCAACACTTGCATATTCAGACGATTTATTATGTGAGTGGCATCTCAGGGGTCCCTCGGGACACTATCTCACCATCCATTTTGAAGACTTTAACCTTCAGAATTCCTCTGGCTGTGAAAAAGACTTTGTTGAGATCTGGGAAAACCATACCTCTGGTCAGTAAAATACGCCTGCTATCTTTGGGGGTGTTTATTTTCACATGTATTCACTCAGCCCTCTAAAGATTCCTCACTTCCAAGAAAGGCAAAACTATGTCTGTTCTTGGCAAAGAAGTGCAGCTCAATCAGATGTGGAAAGTGCCAGCCTTTCTCTCCCTCCACGCACCCATAAACAATGGGTGCCCTGAGCCGCACGTGTCATCCTACAGCTCACCCTGGAGACCATGGAGACAGCATATACTTCCAGGGCA